AGCACTGGGTTCTCTTCCTCATCACAGTGGTAAGACTGAGAAGAGGCTTAAATCTGTGCTGTGACCGGGCAGTTTGAATCTCCATCCCCCTCTATGCATGTGTGCAAGTAGGTCCTTTGGCCGTGCTGATTACTAGCATGCGGCTCTTGGAAAGCTGGCCAGCTTTGAATATGAACCTCAGGCCAATAAAAGGTTAGCCACTCCTGCTCTGAGAACTGAAGCTCTCAAAATGGATGAATAATTTTATGTATAAATATATAAATAAAAACCAATGTGTCTTTGTAGCAGGAAGACAGATGTCTAGTTTAATAAGAACAGTGTTGAATAAAGTAGATATAAGAAGAAACAAACTGAAAGCTGGTATAGTAGCATTGGATATTTTTAAGGCTTTTGACTGTGTAGAATGGCCAGCATTAAAAATGATTATAGAAAGTTTAGGATTTGGAGAACGATTTAAGGGATTAATAAATCAATTGTATTTGAGGAACAAGGCATTTGTTGTAGTGAATGATGGGATAACAGAACAAATAACACTAGCCTGAGGTACAAAACAAGGGTGCCCCCTTTCCCCAATTTTATTTGTATTGGTCATTGAAACTCTGGCCAATGTAATTAGAGAAGATGGAAATATAAAAGGCATAAGCAGTAATGGAAAATAGAAAATAAGTTTATTTGCAGATGGCACCTTGCTAACCTATCAAAAATCCATGGGAATAAGAGACACATTTGAATTTTTTTGGAGAAATAACAGGGTTGCGAATTAATTGGTTGAAATCAGAGAAGATATTTAACTGATGAAGATGAAAAATGAACATTTTTGAAGGAAATAAAAATAGACACAATTAAGAAATGTGATAAATTAATTGGGAATAAATGTATCAAGAAATTCAGAAAATTTAGACCAAGGGAATCTTAAAAAGGGAAATTAAGGAAAAGCTGGAGGAATATAAGAAAATTAAGCTTTTATGGTTTGGAAGAATAGCTATAATTAAAATGAAATAAAATTGTCTAGAACAATTTTTTTATTTAGATTGTTACCAATTAAGCTATCGGAGACAGAGATAAAGGGTTGGCAAAGTATGATTAATAAATTTTGTAATGGGAATAAGAAACCTAGAATTAGAAGATGGTATAAACTCCAGAAAAGGAGTGGACTGGTAGCTCAACAACATCAAGTTATATAGCAAATATATAGTTATATATATATATAGTTATATAGTTAAAATAAATCATAGATGGGATAACAGAACAAGGTGAGTTAGAATGGTTAGAGAGTGGTACACAAGAAATGAAGAAGTTAAGTTGAGTATATTTTTATCAAACCAAATAGGCAATGGTGACAGAATATTGAAAATACCTTATTAAGAAACATCATTGAGATATGGGCAAAATATAAAGGAAAATTGATACCAGCAAATTCCCTACGAACTCTGGTGGTGATGATGATGGAAGACTTCCCAGTAAATTTTAAAAAGGAAATTGAAAAAGGAAGAAAATACTTAAAGGCGTGGGTGGAGAAAATGAGAAGCCCCACCCAGCATGGCCAATGATCAGGGATGGTGGGAGCTGAAGTCTCAGCAACATCTAAACGGGCATCTCACTGGGTACCCTTGTACTAAACCATCTGAAACATGAGCTCTTGAGATGAATGAGAGCATATTGAACTTGCCATCGCATGGCAGATATAGCGACTTGAAAAGGGAAACTATCTGAAAGCCATCTTAAATCATCCATATTTTGCTGCTGTTTGTACCGTTCTCTTCTGGATGGACTCCCATCTCTCAGCTTAAGTAAATACTTCCTGTGCGGTCTGGGAAACATGCTCCCCTTATCTTCTTCCTTGGTTCCTTCAGCAGCAACTGCAAGCTGTTAGAGGTTCAGTTTCTAGATAAAAAGAGCCCCCCTGGGTCAGGTCACTGGTCCATCATAATCCAGCAGGACCTGAGTGCAACAGCGCTGTCTTCTCTTACAATTCCCAGAGGCAGACTGTCCCTTCCAGTGGAGATAGTACATAACTACCACGACTGGCAGCCATTGAAAGGCTTACCCTCTATACATTTGTCTAGCCATCCAAGTTGGCTGCCATGATTTTTTTGGGGAGGAAATTTCATTGTTCAATTGCACTGTGTGAAGTACTTCATTTTGTCTTTCTGAATCTGCCAACATTTTGCTTTATTGAACAGTCCTGGGCTCTAGAATCAGAGAGAGAAAATGTACTTGCACCATGCATAACTGAATGCATAATTTTATTGCTCTCTATCATGTTGTGCTGTACTTTCTTTTTTTCTAAACTAAACCCCAAATGCATCAATCTCTCTTCACAGAGGCATGGCTGCCCCTTTTGGAACCTCTCTGATTATGAAACCTGTGCGATTTCTTCTGTTTTTTTACCTCCAAGTAATTCAAATGTTTTATATAATGAACATTTCTGAGTGATAAGTTCTTCAACCCCCACGTAATGATGAGCTGATGGGTATGTTTTGGTATTATAAAAAAAAAAATCTATGCTAAATCTGAAATATATTTCATGAGCTTATGGCTGTAACTTCTCTGTGCCATTTGAAAAAAATATTCTGCTTCCTTGTGGTCTTATACATTGTCTGATTTTCTGATTCACACAAAGGAACAGCACACCAACTTGTCTTCAAACAGCAAATGCCCTATTAAACTATTCCTAGCTCAGAAGCTTTCCCTTATGTTGAAAAGGCCACTGGGAAATGGCCTTCTATGTTCCTTCTAGGCTTTTGCCTTGCTGTTGGCAATGCCAGTCCAGTTGCTCCCTGGAGCTGTTTGTTTTGCTGAAGTCTGCCTACTACGGATATTCTTTAGTCTGTCAGCTAATTTCACACTGAACAGCCATCAAATGCTACGGTCTCTTGCTAGCTACAATGGAGGCTAGAATTGAGTCCTGTGACCTAGATGTGAAAGACTTCAATGCCCATTATGAATCCCCTGAGACATCTTGTCATTGCTGCTACTGTGATGTAACCACATCAAAAAGCAGAAGGGCATCCTTGCTCCACATTGCAGCGATGGTCATGCAAAGATCTAGGTGTGGGTAAGAGGAAATTCTATATAAAAAGCTAGAATTCAATAAAAACATTTTATCTTCAGCACCGTGACATGAAAAGCTTTTCAATTTATAATTTTAAAAAGAACATCCTACTGAGGTCATTGCCACAACAGTGTTAGGAAAAGGGGGTATGTACACATGTCAACATGTTTTAGCAGATATTCTGCAACACGTGCATGTAAGACTAGCTGACTGCTCAATCCAGTGAACTCTCACACTTCCACATGAAGTTCTATTGAATATACATTTTTTCCATGGAACACCATGACTTGCCCTACAATGCTCTCGTGTGCCCCAAATTGTGTGCTCAACATAGCAAGCTTATCTTGTGCCATTCTGATGCTTTTGCTACACTCTGCACTCAATGATTTGAAGAATAAATTTTTTATTTACCTATTAAATGCTTGTTTTGGCTTACTACACATTTTAAAATTGATGTCTAAAAATGCAAACCTCAGTTGCATTTCAAAGGCTTTATTAACGTCAGTGGGACAGCAGTGTCACCCTAGGCATTCCTACTCAAAACTAAGTTTTGAGTTTAATGGAACTTAGACCCAGGTAACTGCATAGGACTGCAACATAAGATACAGATAAGCAGGTACAAGATGGCAGCTTAAATGGCTGACAACAAATATCTTACAATATATTACAGCTCTGCACCCCAATTCTTTTTCAAAAACATTGCAAGAGAGTATTTTTTTTAAAAAAAACATGCTATAGTCTAAAGTTAGGGATAATGTATGATACTTCCAAATAGCAAACTTACCTCCCATTAGCTTTGGTGATATGGTTTTATTTGTGGCAAATAAATACTTCATTATTTGCTCTCAAGAGTGCTGGTTCCTACATGATGATCTAGCGTGTTTTCCAAAAGTATTGTAAAACGATGTTGGCATAGACTGCTATTGCTACACATTTCAACACATTTATTCACATTTCTGTTACTTGGATTTGGGGGGCCATGAAGAGATTTGAGGTGTAACACATTCCCTGGGGACAAGTGGGCTGTGATAGCTACAAAAATATAATATGCTTCCTATGCTCACTATCAGAGCATGTTTTTTTCAAAAAGGAATTTTGTGTATTAGAATTCCTTCTGGAGGTCTAGAAATATATAAAGACAATCCTCTAATTAGTTTTTTACACTGATGTAATTATTTGTATACTACCATGAACATTTTTGGTAAAGGCTAACAGTACAATTCTGTACATGTCTAGTACCGTACTTTTCGCTCTATAACACACACCAGACCATAACACGCACGTCGTTTTTAGAGGAAAACAAGAAAAAATATTCTAAACAAAATAGTGGATATATGATTTTTGTGGTTCATGCTGTGGCCACAGACATGTGATCTGACAGTGAGTTTGGAGTAGCCCAATGCAAAAATCCTGAGGATCCATGTGGATCCATGCTTTGTAACCACGGAGGAGGGAAGGAAGGGGAACCATGGATCCTCTGCTCACGACTGCAGCAGATCCCCCCCGCCACCCGCAGGCATTCGCTCCATAACACGCACAGACATTTCCCCTTACTTTCTAGGAGGAAAAAAGTGAGTGTTATGGTGCAAAAAATATGGTAAGTCCTATTTTCATGTGGGTTTACTCTCAAGAAAGTGTGTAAAGACTAATATAGGTAGAATTTGTCAAGATATCAAGCCAGGTCACAGAGTAACCCAATTTTGGCCAGCCAGAATATATTACTGCTAGTGTAATCAATATTGTCCCACATCCAAGAAAAGAAAACCTGGCTCACATTTTGCACACACATACACTCATAAACTCACTGAAGTCAGCAACAAAAACCCCAGAGGCTAGGACTGAACCTGTTGTAAACTTTTCAGAGTAGACCTCCGTCAAGTTCTTATCATTTTCAGATTTATCATTTCCCTGCCTTTTTGTCCTCCCCCCACAAAAACAGCTTCTATCGCAAAGTAATGTTTTATTTTAGTCAAGACCAGGTATGCAAGAAGACAATCATTTATCTCTCCCAACATTTATTTAATCTCTCAACTATATAAAACATTTATTTTAAACTCTATAATAGGGTTATAGAAATAATATAATCTTTTAATGTAATTTACAGTACTCACCTTGGAAATATAACACATTTAATAAGATGTGAACAATCAAGTCCAAACCTTCTTTTGCTCAAATACTGTTCTACTGTGGAAAAAGAAAATGCCAGCAGGGTCCTTTGCCCTCAAGCAAAACAATAGTTCTTTTGAAGATGTTTCTCGGTTCACTCAAATATCGTTTGGAGCATGGAAGTATTTTTATAAAAACATCTCGAGGCATTGGGCTTGTGGATCTAGATCTGCTTGCAGTCATGTCTGGTACACATCGCCTGCCGTTCAATTCGCCAAGTCACTTCTTCATAGGTACAGTGGCATATAGTGCAGTCGTCCGTCTTTACCTCTCGACCTGCAGGGATGACTGTGGTCTCTGCAAAGCAGTTGGGCCCTAGAACAGAAGGGGGGGCACTGAGTGAAGCTGCTTCACAACTGCCAGGTGGACAGAACACGGGTTGGATGTGGAGACGGCCTGAAATCCTCTCTCTGACTCACAGTGTGGACTCAAGCAAATCACAGCCTTAGAGCCCACAAACGCGTCACACGTCAGTATGGTAAGAACGCAAAGCTTTTAGGGTATTCCAAAGTGTTATTGCAGTTATTTTTAGCAATGACTCTTAGGGAATCTCCAAATGCATTCTGAAGCAGAGTTTCTTTTATTTATTAATTTCCTAAAATTAATAAATTCCTAAAACAACCTCAAAGTGATTTACAAAAGAAAAAATATCAAGAAAAAAATCACAATCATACTTTAAAACATAGAAAAGTTAAAATACTAAAACAGATTAAAATTACCTCATCTTTCTAAGCATCTGGGTAGGCTTGTCTAAACAAGAATGTGTTTAGCAGGTGCTGAAAAGAGGACAGTGAAGGTTCCTGCCTGATGTCAATAGACAGGGACTTCCAAAGTGCATGTACTGCCACACTAACATCGTGTTCTTACAAATGTGAAATAGGTATTGTGTGGCACCTGCAGTAGTGCCAATTCTGCCAATCAAAGTGCTCCCAAGCTTTTGTGGCGCAATCAAATGCTTCACCAAGAATGCATGAAGACTGTGGAGACTTAAGTATTCTTACTAAAACAACATTAAAGTTTTAAGGGCCTATGAAGTGAGGGAGGTGCTGGTCTTGAGCAGCAACCAATGGGCAGGGCCTTCCCTCCCTTTACCAACAGGTAAGGATGTGCGCTCATATCCCGCTATCTAAACACCCATTGTTTGAGAATTCACTTATCCAAACATGAGGAATCTGTGCCCAAACCTCACTATACACACTGCAGATTCAGATACCCAAACAGCTGGACCTGTGTGTGGTACTTTAAACAAATAAGCAGCCTTAAACAAGTCTTCCTTTTTGTGCTTTGCTGGTTCACAGCAGCCATTTCACCAGAAACCATGGGGGGAGGCGGGGAGAAAATGGGAGATATCAGACAAATGAGCATTTTGCCCTTCCTTGTTTGCTTTTTGCAAAGTTTCAGTGGATTTTCCTGGGTTTCCCCCATCACTTTGGGGGTCAAAATTCCATGGTCAGGAACACATTAGAAATTTCCCCATGGGAATTAATAGAAATCATTGACTAGTTATGTGAGCACCCAGCTAACAAATGATTTCTTGAGGTCGCATTGCGTTCAGAGAATGAGACCTGTGCATCCTTATCTCTGAGCCACTGCACCCGCTGCTGGTTGGGGCTGCTCCACATGCTGCTCTTGCTCCACCATCCTCTTCTCCATTATGTTGAACTGCTCAAGGAGTCCTGCTATCCCTCCCTCCATTTTCAATTTCAGGAGAACGCTGCTCCTAGGCCTTCTCTCCAGGAAACACAGATCCCACTGAGAACACCAGGGTTACAATAGTTGGGTGCCACACCCCACTCCATCAAGCGATAGCAAGATCCCAGGGGGTTCCAGGCTCTTACCCAAGGTTGTGTGTTCCTTTGGAGAATTGAGACACGGCAGAGACTGTCTTAGCTTTAAAAATATACCGTATTTTTCGCTCTATAACACGCAGTTTTTTCCTCCTGGAAAGTAAGGGGAAATGTCTGTGCGTGTTATGGAGCGAATGCCTACAGATTGGCAGGGAATCCGCTGCAGTTGTGAGCAGTCCGTGGCTCTCTTTGAAACTGCAAAGCGGGTGTAAGCGGCTCCTGTCAGCGAGCCGAGCCGGGCAGGAGGGAGAGAAGCAGAGCGGGGTTGGTTGCTTTAAAACAGCCCCGTGCTCTATGTCCCTGCCTGCAGTTTTTTGCTGTCCGATTTTGGATCAGCCACTGTAGGGGCTGTGTGTGTGTGTGTGCGCTTGAGCTATCGTTCTCCTCCTCCTCCTTCCTGTTCACTCTCACAGCGCCCCAGCGCTCTCCTGCGACTTTAGGAGTGATACTCTGTGTGTCTCTCTGTGTGTGAGGCATCGTTCTCCTTCTCTTGCTTCCCCTTCACTCTCCCAGCGCCCCTGCTACTTCCAGCGCCCCTGCGACTTTAGGATTGATACTGTGTGTGTGTGAGAGAGAGAGAGGGGGGGGGATCGTTCTCCTTCTCTTGCTTCCCACTCCCAGCGCCCCTGCCTCTCCTGCGACTTTAGGATTGATACTGTGTGTGTGTGAGAGAGAGAGAGAGGGGGGGGGTCGTTCTCCTTCTCTTGCTTCCCACTCCCAGCACCCCTGCGCTCTCCTGCGACTTTAGGATTGATACTGTGTGTGTGTGTGTGTGTGTGTGTGTGTGAGGCATCGTTCTCCTCTTGCTTCCCCTTCACTCTCCCAGCGCCCCTGCGCTCTCCTGCGACGTTAGGATTGATACTGTGTGTGTGTGTGTGTGTGTGTGTGTGAGGCATCGTTCTCCTCTTGCTTCCCCTTCACTCTCCCAGTGCCCCTGCGCTCTCCTGCGACGTTAGGATTGATACTGTGTGTGTGTGTGAGAGAGAGAGGGGGGGGATCGTTCTCCTTCTCTTGCTTCCCACTCCCAGCGCCCCTGCGCTCTCCTGCGACTTTAGGATTGATACTCTGTGTGTGTGTGTCTGTGTGTGTGTGAGAGGGATTGTTCTCCTCCTGCTGCTTCCTGTTCACTCTCCCAGCACCCCTGCGACTTTAGGGGGTTTATTCACCTATTTACACCTTCGGTCTGCATGGAGGGAGTCCAGACCTTACGGCATGGTCATTTCAAGAGGGGCTTGTCCCCACAGCAGCACAACCCTGGAGTCCAAGGCATTTCTCCCAGTCATCTCTGCAGCCAGCCTGCGCAAGATGGATGACTCCCCAGGACACCCAGTATTATAGATTTGGATGTGGGACCCCCTAAGCCTAGAAATTAATAAATGGTAAGAATTTCATTATTTGATCATGTGAAGGGAGAAATACAAGCTGCAAGGAATTCCTGGGTTAGCCTAGGCAAAACAACCTGGCCAAGCTAGGGCCACTAAGAAACAAGAGAGGGCCATTGAGAGCCCTTGGCAATGCAAGAGAGCTGTCCTCCCCCCTTGCCCCAAGGTGTGAACAGAGGCTGGGGGGTTGGGAGTAGGGTAACTGGGTGGGAGGTGACAGGAAAAGTTATGAACACTAGAAGATTCTATGGAATCAGGAAGAACTTTCTGACAGCAAGAGCTGCTCATCTTTGGAATGTTCTCCTTCTGGAGGTGGTGGACTCGTCTTCCTTAGAGGTTTTCAAGCAGGGGATGGATGGGCATCTGTCAGGGAGAATCTAGTTGAGATTCCTGCATTGCAGGGGGTTGGACTAGATGACCCTTGGGGTCCCTTCCAACTCTTCAATTCTATGATTCTATGAAAATCTGAAAGCTCTAATCAGCTAAATAATCATATTGATAAATATAGATTTCAGGTTTTAAACATTCATGGTGTAGTGAGGCATTTTCCCTGAGGCATCAAGCCTCAGCAAATAAAACAACCCTATACCTGTAATTACAAGACTCATTTTTGACTAATTATGACCTATTTATTCGTACTAAATAAAACTGTGTTGGCAGATTGTGACTAAATGCAGACACCAACTGTCAGGAAAGAGGCAAAACCTTAAAATAGAACAGAATGTTTGCTCTGGCTGACAGGGACAGCAGAATCCCACCTTTTCTAGTGTGACATCTGCCACTCAGGAGCCCCTCACAGGCAAGTACTATTTTGCGTTTGGCTGACTTAGCCCCAAGTGGGGCTGGAAAGAGGAGAAGGGAGGGGCAAAATGTGTCAGATATTGGAAAGGATTGAAGGCTGGCTCACTGAGAGAAAAGGGGGCTGAACAATCCCTCCACTGATCTCCGACAGCCCCATTCTGCTGCTAAGCTTTAGGCATTAATTTAATGAATAATAACAATAAACTGATATTAGAAGATGCTAGAAGAAATAAGGCAGTAGTGGCTCAACACTGTTTCTGGCTACTATTCAAGGCTTTAAGGGTGAAACCTCAAAGGTTCAGAAAGTATACCCGTAAAATTTAAAACTGATCACAGGAGGGTAAGTGCACAGCACCCAGCCCACCATCTCACACTGATACCACCTGGAACAAAGGACTATGGCAGACAATCACTCAGCACAGTAGGAACATTCTCTGCTAAAAGAACAGGTGCCAACATTTGGGCTCCTGCAAAACCAGTATTGTCACTGAACTAATAAAAACCCTAATGACAGTGGAATGGCCCATGGGCCTCTCGCAGTGGAAGAGGTTCAGAAAGGAGGCATCTGACCCAGCCCAAGTGATGTGGAACCCATAAAACAGCTTAAAGCACAAAAACCCCTGAAAGAACAAGAAGCTGCGCTTGGGATGGTGTCACGCATATCAAAGTTCATTCCAAGATTCACGGAAATCACAGCTTGCTAAAGAGGCCTGAAGAAAAAAGGCACTGAATGGTACTGAAACAACAAGACACTTCAAAACACAAAAGAAGTTATCACCCAACTGAAGTATTGTGTTGAAACAAAGGAATTAACAACTATGTGCTTCACAGGCAACAGTTGTGGCTGCGTTGTTGAAGGAAGGGCACCTTGTGGCAGATGCTTCAAGAGCATCAGCATCTACTCAGCAGAATTATGCTCAAGTTGAAAATGAAGTACTTGCTATTGTCTCTGGGTGTACACTTGAGGGCACTTTGCAACAGTGGAAACTGATCACAACCTCTTGGCAAACATACTAGAGAAACCTCTAACCTCTGCTCCACCAAGACTTCGGCTCTGATCCTGAAACAAATTTAAAAGTAACATACAAGCCCGGAAAGACAAGCCTGCAGCTGATCTGCTCTCACCCAACTGGGCAGAAGGAAAAAGGCCACAGAGAAGGACTGGGAAGAGCAGGGGCCTGTGATATTGCAACACCTCCCTGCAACCACAAACTGGAAGAAATCAGGCAGAACAGAGAGAGGCGAGGGAAAGGAAAACAAAAACCTAAGTGCAGAATGTCTTACCTGCAAGCATCAAGTTACATTGGCCAGAAGAGAATTCTGGAATGATTAAGGCAAAACTCACTGGAGAAAATTGTCTGATTTTTGAAGGGGAGTAGGTAGTAATCCCAAAGGCAGGAGTATTTTAGTATTTTAACTTCTTGTATATTTTAATGCACTGTAAGTTTTTCCTGATTTTATAGTTTTATCTTCTTATAAACCACTTTGAGGTGGTTTTCTTTTCTTTTCTTTTCTTTTACAGTCAAGTGGTATATAAATTTTATGAAATCAAACGATCAATAAGAGATACCCTCTCCTGGCCTAGCATGGCAATGCCTCTCTCATTCTTCCACTATTGTTGCCAGCTCATGGAGGTGAAATCTACACACAATATAAAAAAAGTTCTGCAAATGCTTTTTTAAAAAACGTTTCTAAAAATACACTGAATTTTCCTTAAGGCTCACTATCACCATCTAGTGTCACATTGTATATTGTACTTAAAGCACACTTGAAACATTTTATTTGCAGCTGTATAGCTGAGTCCGGAGTCTTCAGAAAACTGCTTGCTTGCCTACCTACCCCTCTGCAGGAAAAAACTCTGTGATGCATGCTCATGGCATATGAGTTGCCTATGTGATAAAAACTGCAGCAATAATTTAAGCTCAATGACACTTCCAAAGAAGAGATTTAACCAGCAGTTACATCATAGGTCCCTAGCATAGGAAGGAACAATAGCTAGCTGCATATTATTCCCCAGTCTGCACTCCCTTCCAGATTGCATTGGGTATTTTCTTCAGAGGCAAGAGTCATCTCCACAATCACCGGGATTATTCCTCTCTGATACTTCCATTTATTTCTAGAGATCTCCCATAAAGTCGAATCCGAGAGCATTTGTAGTTCTAATAAATCCACAATATGAATGGGAGACCTTGCATGCTACCTGTTTCAGCAGGGAACACTAGAAAAAGCTCCTAACAGTTGAAATATGCAGGGCTGGCCCACCCATGAGGCAAGGGGAGGCAACCACCTCAGGCGGCGGCAGATCCCAATGGAGATCTTTATTCTCCCCTTGCTCCTGATGCAGAACTTCACTCACCCCTTCTTCCCTGGTGGGGAGGGGGGCACCTCAGATGCCCATATGTCTTGGGCCAGTCATGGTCAATGCACTTAGAAGTTAATAGAAATAGCACCCAACTATTCAACAGAACCTTCCAGTTGAGCCAAAATAGCATTTTCTTCAGTGCAAAAGTAAAATGTCTAGTTGAATCTGAAATCAATGGGACTTCAAACTATTTTACTTTAGAACTACACTCAATGTTTGTTTGTTTTTTAACCAAACTTTTAGACTTCTTAAAAGACTGAAATTAAAGTATTAGTAATTTAGAACACTTCAAAGCTTTGTCCTCAAGGTGGTAGCTGAATACAGTAATATGACACATTAAAATGCAAAGAAGGGGGGGGATACCTCACAGGTATCCAAACGTCTAATTTATAAATATTAATCAGGCTGAAATTTTATTAAAGGACTCTTTGTCAGTATAACTTACAGAGCGAGGCCTTGTTAATTTCCATGAGGTTTTACTGTGTTTGAAAGCTGGAATCATTAATTCAAAACCCATAACAAATTCTACAGGATACGCCTGTTACTAAGTCCTAAAAATAATTGGATCATCATCATTAAAACATGCTTGTTAGAAAGTGCTTGAGTGGTTGATAGATGATATACAGTGGTACCTTGGTACTTGAATGGCTTGGCTCCCGAACAAATCGGCTCCCAAACGCCACAAACCCGGAAGTAAGTGTTCCAGTTTGCGAACGTTTTTTGGAAGCAAACGTCCAACACAGCTTCCGCTTGAGTGCAGGAAGCTCCTGCAGCCAATCGGAAGCTGCGCCTTGATTTTCAAATTGTTTCAGGAGTCAGACAGACTCCCAGAATGAATTAAGTTTGAGAACCAAGGTACCACTGTATAAAATGAAGATTTTAAGATCATTTTAAATTCTGTGTGATGTAAAGTTCCAAGTTATCAAATGCTGAACTATTATTAAAATTGACTTTCCATTTTAACGGTCATTCAATTTCCTATTTCATTCCACTCCCTATTTCCCATTCTGCCATATATTTATCTCTGTTTGTTTTGAAATTATATTTTACAAGTGAGGCAAAGATGGATTTGACATTCTGAACCTAGTTTTGCTGGAGGCCAGAATTTCAGCAAATAAAAATTTCAGCTCAAATGAAAGGTAATATCATGAATGCTAATAAAAAGAATTTATTTCATAAAGCTAGGTTAACATAAACCTATATATCAACTTCTATTTGTGTCAATAACCTAAAGATTAGCTAAATTTGCACAGAAGATGGAAGATGATCCTGGAGTGGCTTTCTGCCGCCAAGCATTTATTACACTTTAATCTCTCTGTTTGTTGATGGAATTCCAGACCTCTTCAGCCTCGCACTTCAGTATATAGTGCAATATATTTTAATGTCTATGTCTGAGGTAATCTTTCACTCTAAAAAAAAAAAATAGCACTACTATACTCAGTATATAAAAAGAGGGAAGTAGATTTCACATGAAACAGTCCTGTTTTGAGGTTTCTAAGAGGTGATCTATATCTCATGGATGCCAAGAAAAAGGATGGGTTCTTTATGTTTTTGTCAATGAGGTTAACACATCTGTGCTTGGCAAGAACTATTGAAATGTATAGTTTGAGGTGGCCCTCCCATGAGTTTTTGCCTTAATGGTCTTTGACAACAGAAAGCATTGACATTGGTTCAAAAAGAAACAAACAAGGAATTAATGGTCTTATGTTTTTATGTGTTATGTCTGTTTTTAGCCTGAAACAGATTTTCTTTTAGATACTTGATTAAAACAGTGGGGGCGCTATGGGAACATGAGACGGCCATTTGCAGCACTGTCAGAGACCAGGCTGAGGAGAGCTATTCTGACGAGGAATGGTGGGGGCCTCCCCTGACCCCTGCTCCTGAACAGGATCCTGAAGCTGCCCAGGAGCAGTGGAGCAGTATAGATTTGGAGCAGTGGTTTACAGAGGGATATAGTATGGAAGACAACAGCTGGGCAGAACTGAGTGGGGAACAGCTAGCAGAAGAAGAACAGGGAGAGAGAGACTTAACAGATTGCCTTTCACTGGAAAGTGTCCAAGCGCTCAGTCCAAGGTCAAGGAGAGCAGAAAAGGTAGCTACACAGAAGGCCAAATGGATGCGAGATCATGTTTCCAGACAAGTAAGGGACAAGGGTGGCTCGGGGGGTGGGGGAGTGGGTGGAAACATTAATTGGGAGCACCTTTCCTCTGAGATGGAGTCTTTGTTCTTTCGCTGTGAACAGTAAATTTTCTTTAACTGGTAAGAGACTATTTTCGCTTTGTTCTGCTTATCCACAGCCAAAGGGAGGGAGGGAGCCGCTTCCCCGAAGCCTGACAAGCACCAAGACAAGTCACCAGACACATTGGCATTAAACAGTTTCATCCTGTTCAGATCTGTCTGGTGCCAGCGTCTGATGGAGCTCATGGTTCCCTACAGCACATTGCCATCAGACCTCACTCTCAGCAGGATGGTGGCGTCCTTCCTATGTCAGGCAGCCAGAGAAAGTGTGTTGGTGCAGCTACAGAGGGCAGTAGCACAGGCTGCACCTTTACTTTTTAATATTTGGAGAAGCCAGGGTGGAGAGCCATTCCTACCAGTGGGCACTGGTGGAAGCTGTGGGGATAGGAGCAGCCAGCACTTGTGGAACTAGTCAGGGTCCTATTTCAGGGAGAGGTGACAGACCAGTGCCACATGGAAATTGTCGTGTTCATAAGACGCATGCTGGCCAGAGCAAGCTAGTGAAGGGAGTCTGCTTCATGAGCTCCAGGGAGCCCCAGCTCACAAAGCATCAAAGCGAGCTCAGCAGAGAGGCATGTTCAGCAGCAGGGCAAAGAGGCCAGGGAACACCATTGCACCCCTCCTTTCCTTGTCCTAAAGGAAATCCAAGCTCTCCGTGCAGAAACTCAGTAAGCTACATGGACAATTATGCACATAGTGTGCCAGCCAGGGAATGGAGACTTCCCGGTGTCTGTCACATGTACAACTATCTGCCTATTGTGAAGGGGACCCTAGTGTAATTGACAGGGCCCGTTCAAAACTTAATGCAGAAGCTGAGGTTGGCAGTGCATGAACAGGGAGGGTCACTAATTCGCTCCCCAGATATCATGCCCAGTAACACTGAACTGCATAGGCCAGATGGAATTCGCCTCACAGATGTTGGCAACAACAATTTTTTGACAAACCTTCAGAAGGGCCTGCACGAGAGAGACTAAAAAGATTTCTGTCTCTTTTCTGGTGGTTAGGTACGAGAAGGAAAAGACTAAAGTTTTAGCCAAGTGACCCCCTGAGGCACCTTTCCTGGTGATGGCCTGGCCTCCAGGCTTGTTCTCTAGGTTATGGGGCCTTGGAGTGGGATATGAGCCACCTTTGAGCCCCACCTGCCTCATCTGCCCCGGGGGTGGGGGATGCAGCAAGGCCTATCTACTCTCCCTTCATGGTGTGGCCTGGGGAAAGGCAGTCCTGCTTCCATTTACCAAAGGCATGAGCTCCATCACACAGGCGGCTGCGGTTTGGGCTTACATTACAGTTAGCTCCTGCGCCGATAGTTGTTACCCTCTGCATCCGTTGTTTACTGATTTAAACTTAAGTAAAGTAGTCCTAGTTCATACAACTCTGGGTGCTGGACTCTTTATTTGGCCATCAGGTAACAAATACCATTCCCTGCAAGAAAGGCACATACTTGTCGAAACTGCACTTTTGTTACTGTTGTAGGGATAGTATTTTAAATAGCTGAAGCTTTAAGCCAACTGTAGCTTGAATTTGTTGCTTACCATTTTTGCAGATAGGACAGCACTGATCTGGCTCATATACGGGATCCACGCAGTCCGTCTGAGGACATGCAGACACTGTACACACAACTTCGCCATTGGCTTCACAGCGGCATTTTTCACAAGGTGAAACCTGAAAACAAAACAAACTATGTTTTAGCTTGGGGGCTGTCAGATTTCAAGTTTGAGGTCTACTTTGTTTTTACTAGAATCCAAATTGGCACCAAGCAGAGTCAGGTACAAAGTAGTTCCTTGGGGAAGGAGGGATGCTATTGAGCTACATGCAAAATGGTAGCTCAGGGGACAGAGCCCCACTGGGCTTATTACCAGCTTCTATAAATGTGCCCATGTTATAGATGGGTGTTATATATGGATTGGAGAGTGGTACATTCACAAAATACAAAACAAGAATTACGAAGAGAAAAAAAGGCATCTGAATTACTATTGGTCAAGGTTCAAACAGCCAAATTTCATGCAGGGGAAACTTTTTGGTGTTGCTGTTAACCAGTATTGAACTGTAAACTCCTGGTACTTCAGACCACCCGACATATACCAATAGATCCTCATCTATCTTCTGCACACCCTTGTTTTAGTCAGTATATTTCAGCAGGATAGGCTCTAAGAGTTTGATTTCATGTTGTAACTTCCTCTTCATAGTAATTTGAACAAGGAAATAGCATGAGCTCATGTGAACATGCTGGTGCCAGGTGCCCCCCTGAAAAATCCCTAGAGCAGCCAGAAAATCCTTAGATCTGCCAAATCCAAACTCTCTCATCTCAGTTCAGATTGTGCTGCAAATGAATTTGAACATCCACAAACAGTGTTAAGGATAAACATGTGCAAAAAAGGAGGGGGGAAGCATGACGGTACAATAAAATTACTCATTCAGACTCCTTACCAGCATTACAAATGTTAAATAGGAAAAGTGAGTTTACAGCCCTGCAATTCCAGTCCCTGCACTCTGCTACAGCTGAAGGACGCCACTGGTGGATTCTGCATGAGGCGAGTGCATCCAGGAGGGGCGATGTGCCTGACGACTGATCCCACTGCTTACTTGTTTGTCCCATTTATAAGGCCTTAAGAGCAGTCTTGTTCAAAGACTTAAATATCTCAGCTGACAGATCAATTGAGTGCTTGGTTAACTTTCGATTAGGAGACCCGTTCTCTGACATTTCTGAAAAGGCAGGTTGTTTTGCCTTCAGAGCAGCAATTTTAAGGAGAAACGTTTGTGAGGGTGGTAAGTTAAATTCTTCAGTGGTGCAAATTTCTATTTGGCAGAATGCCTATTTTAAATTGTTATTTTAACTGCACAACATATTTTGTTTGTGTGTTTCTTGTTTTGGCTTCAGCTACACAAATGAATAAACAATGACAATAAAATACCCGCAAGAGGCCAAATCATAACCATATATGACAACATAAGACAAACGCATTTCAACAGAGAAGTCCTTATAAGTAGCCCAATATAGTAACAGAAACTTGAGCAGAACAATTATGTAAGAAATAAAAACAGTGATTGGAACAGCACTTCCAGAATTAAAAATAATCACATATTTAAGAAACTCACAAGTTGCAAACTAAGACTCACCAACTGGCTTTGGCTCTCGTATGTGAGACTTCAAAGAAGGAGGGCAAGACCTGGAAATAGACTGGGAACCAGTGCAGATTAAAAAGTGCAGACTTAATATGGTCAAGCTGTTCATTGCAATTAATCATCTTGTGGCAGTTTCCAGACTGTTTTTTAAAGAAAACACCACACATAACACATTGCAATATGTTACGGTCTCATTCTCCCATGCCAACCTGCCCATGCATTAAGATCAGCAGATTAGGACTCCCTGGTGCGATACAAGATGTGAGGTCCCATGGAAGGGCCTTTTCAGTAGTGGCTCCATGTCTGTGGAATGACCACTCCACTGAAGGGTGTCTGTCTAGCACCAGCTTTGGTATTTTTTATAGAACTTTTAAACTTTTTTGCTATGTTTATGAAGCTTCTAGCTATCTAATAAGTGTATTTAATAAGCATTGTTTTTGATGCTCTTGCATATTACATTTTAGATCACCTTATATTTCTGTAAACTGCCCTGTGAGCATGTTTGGCTAATAATAAATACATTTCTAAGTCAAGCTGTCTCCATTCAAGGAAGGGCAAAGCTGGTGAACCAGCTGAAGCTCTTCAAAGGGGCTTTGGCCACAGAGTCAGCTGAGCCTCAGTGCTGGATCATGCCCAGACTGGGGACCTGGTTTGGGGGAAGTGCAGTCCAGAATATTCCCCTGAGTGGATGAATCAATAATCAGCAGTAGCTCCATCTTGTCTGGGCTAAGACTCCATTTATGCATAGAATCATAGAATGGCAGAGTTGGAAGGGACCCCAAGGGTCATCTAGTCCAACCCCCTGCAATGGAAGAACAGAATCATCTCAACTAAAGCACACCTGACAGGTGGTCATCAATCTGTCCCTTCTGAGGGAGTCCATTCCACTGTCAAACAGTTCTTATTGTCAGAAAGTTCTCCCTGGTGTTTAGTCAGAATCTCCTTTCTTGTAACCTGTATCCATTGGTCCCACCCTCTGGAGCAGGAGAAAAGAAGCTTGCTCCATCCTCCATGTGACAGGCCTATCATGTCTTCTGTCAGTCTCCTCTTTACCAGGCTAAATGTACCCAACTCCCTCCACTGTTCCTCATAAGGCTTGGTTTCCATCTCATCCAGGCCATCACTGGTCAAGGACAAGCACAGTCTAATGAAAAAATAGATATAAAGCCTGATGTCATATACTACAGTAAATACTAGCTAAACCCTGGGCCAAATTTCTGGATGAATGTTCAACAACACAAGAAAAAGACTAGATATCTGTGGAGCTCCCCCAAAATTAGTGCCAATGGTCAAGCAGTAATCTTCCAGCCCACTTTCTGGAAACATCCATCCTAAGAAAGAGGGGAATTTCAGCCACTTAGCCTGGACAACATATCCAGAAGGATACTGTGATTCATAGTATCAAAGTACTGATACTTTTTTCTCAAAGGGACTTTGGGAGACAAGCACCTTATATAGTTCTGCTGTGTTCTCCAACATGGTACTTTAATTCCACCTTGCTCACTTAAAATACCACTCTGTAACCATTAGCGATTCTCTCTTACAATATTTTCAATTAAATGTGGACATTGGTCTGGCATACCCAGTAGTTTAGGATGCTATGACGGTGGTCCTTTGTGGAGCCCCTGCAGGCAAATCTGTTAAATAAATTAAAAAAAACTCATCCTGTATCAAAACCCAATTAACCACCGATATCCTGGGATTGGAATGGAAACACAAGGACACCAGTTCTCCAAGGGACCTCAAATATTGTTAATCTAAGCGGTGCATACTTGAAGCTTTAGAATTCAATGATTGCTAAGTCTTTTATTTAGGTTAATAAAAAATACTACAAATTTTAGAAACAAGAATTCCAAATTATTGGCTAATGTGTTTAAAAGGTAGAACTACACGCAAGATCTTATCAGTGAATGATCTTTCTGGATCTCAGGTTTAGGAAAGTATTTGTGAATTGTTGTTGTTGTTGTTTTATTGTTTGTACCCCGCCCATCTGACTGGGTTGTCCCAGCCACTCTGGGGGGCGGCTTCCAACATGTATAAAAACATAATAAAGCACCACACATTAAAAAGCTTCCCTATAGCTTTCAGATGTCTTCTGTAAGTTATATAGGTACTCATCTCCTTAACATAGGAGGGCGTTCTACAGGGTGGGCATCACCACCAAGAAGGCCCTCTTCCTGGTTCCCTGAAGCCTCACTTCTCGCACTGAGGGAACTGCCACAAAACCTCAGTGTCTGGGCTGGACGATTGGGGTGTAGATACTCCATCAGGTATACAGGGCCAAGGCCATTTAGTGCTTTAAAGGTCGGCACCAACAAATCTGAAGTATTATGTACATATATACTTCCCCACCAATCCAGATGTTGTACAAATTACAATATCTTTTTGGACTCACTCTGTCCCTATTTTGTACCTTTCAATCTCTTCAGGGAAGTTCTTTCTCAAATAATTTCTAAGAAGGAAACAGGCCATAATTAGAAGCTTAAAAGTCGCAAATCAACAGGCCCAGATGGGACTTCTGGGTGATCCAAACAAGCGTTTGAAGGATGTCTTTTGTCTTGCAGTTGTCTGTTCTTGTTAATAACATTATGCAAGGAGATGCCATTCCTGAGTCCTAGTTGGGGAGATGATTCTGATACTTAAACCTGGGAGAACCCTCCCTTGCTGGAGTCTTATTGCCCCATCTTCCTCGTTCAGCAGGACCAAAAAATATTCACAGCTGTACTTGTGGCATGCATTTCATCTGAACCAAGTAGGGTTTATTTCAAGTAGAAAGATGGTTTCCTCCATCCACAGGGTATTAAATATACGTCACAGCTGACGAAACAGAAATCCCCTGGTTTGTACCCTTTAAAGGCCTTTGACTGCACTGAGTGGCCTTTTTCAATACTTTTCTTCACAAATACCACTTTGGAGATGGCCCTGGTATGTGTTATATCTAGATTATATAGCCCCACACTGGTAGGAGTGGATTTTGACCCATTCTTTGTCCACACTCTGCCTGCCCTTCATCAACAGATTGAAGTTTAAGGGGCTGGCAGGATGGGGGTGAGGATTAACTATGATAAACTGGAGTCCATGTTCTGGAAAATTGGTTCTAAAGATTATCTTTGTGTTTGTTGAAAAATGAATATTAAAGGTTGCCCTTGTGGTGTCTAGTTGTGTATCTCCTTGGGAGTTAACGGAATTATTTGCTCTCAGTAATCTTCCAGCTCTTTCTCACATTAAACCTGATTTTAAATCCTTTGTGGCTCTGTATTAGAACTGCAGGAAAAGTGAGCTAGCAGTAGCTCAAATTGTGTGAATAAACACCCTGATATGGAGGTGCAATGGCCGGGTGTTTCCCCTGCACAGTTCACTCTTGACAACTGCAGAGCAAATGCACTGCGATGCATAAAGGACACATGTGAAGGAGCATGGCTTAGAAGGATAACAGAATGCTGGCACTAATTAATAAAGACATGGTTATAGCTTTACGTGAACAAAAAGGCCTTCTTGCATAAATGTTCATAAATACGCCACACAGTCTAGTCATACGT